TTATATAACCTCTTTAATATTATAATTTCCTTAGCTAAGAAGATAATTAATAATAAGCTTCTTATAGAACTTTAGTATTTATAAACCTAGTTTAATTAATAAAATATTATCTAGGCTAATATCTTATATAAGCTATAAAATACTATTAATTATTAAACTATTATTATTATTATTATTATTATCCTACTAGATTAGTATTAATTAACAGATTATTATATTATATTATATAATAGTTTTAATATCTTACTTATTTTTAGCTAGATAGGGAAGATTAATATTAATAATATTATTCTTTTTAATAATATTAATAATAGTAGTAGTATTATATTATAGTATATTTTATATAAGGATCTCTAGATAATTATCTATAATATTAATACTAAGATTATTAACTATCTATATAATTATCCTAATAATATTATTTAATATATAAATTATAATATTAAAGATATATATAATATTACTAGACTAAAGATTCCTCTTATTAAGCTCTCTACTAGCTTTATTCTTTTTAGTAGTAATATCCTGTTATATTATAATAGTATAGCTAATATATAATAACTTATTAATCTTAATATTAAGTATCCTAATAAGTCTTAGTATACTATCTTTAGTCTTAAGGCTTATCTTAAACTACTAATATTTATTATAATAATATATAGTATACTCCTTAATTTTAAGCCCTCTTCTACTAATATTATTATATATCTCTAATTATAGAATATATATTATATTCTATATAATACTAAGATTATATATCTAGGATAGCTCTTACTAGCCTATAAGATTAAGGAACTATATATAAAAGAATATACTACTACTAAACTTATTCTTAAGTTTAATATTACTAATATTATTAATTTAGTAATTTAACTAGGCTTAGTATTAAAGAATAGGGATTATAATTATTAGTTCTTTAATAATAGTTAATATCTATAGTAGTACTTTTATTACTAAATATATAATTATATTATTTATAATTATAAAAGATAGGCCTAATATATATATTATATAAGATTATATAACTCTAAGTAATATACCTAAGCTTATAATTATATTATTATTAAGTATATTATATATATTTAATTTAATAAGATTACTACTAATCTAATAGTTATTAATTATTTTATATATAAATAAGAGTATATTTATTATACTAAAAAGCTTAAATTACTCTATATCTTATATATATAAGACCCTTTTATATATTATATATCCTTTATTACCCCTTCTCTTATTATATCTTCTTATACTCCTATAATAATACTCCTATCTTAAATAAATTATATTTATTTAGGAAGCCCTCTTAAATATTATTATATATTAATAGGAATTAAGATTATAATCTTAATCCTCTCTTCTTTTTATAGGAACTTAGTTTCTTATAAGAATTAAGTAATATAGATAATTATATTATTTTTTAATAATATTACTCTTAGAAATAATAATAATAATATTATAGACTCTAATCCTAATATTTATAAGATTTTTAATAACTTTATTATATCTACTTTTATTCCTCTTAATCTTATTAGTTTAGAGTTAATTAATATATAGATAAGAGGTTATAATAAATATATAAAAGAGGAATCTAAGGATAAACTTAGTTAGGATATATCTAAATTATAGAAGATATTTACTTAAAATATATTTTATATATAATAAATAAGTTATTAATAATCTTATAGATTAATTATTATAAATCTAATAATATAATAATAAAATATTTTTTTAGTAAGAAAGGAGTATAGAAGTATAATATCTTAATAATCTAAGACCTAGAGATATATTATTAAATAGAATCTAATATAAGGATCTATTTATAAATCTTAGGTAATTAATTCTATATATTTTTATAATTAATACCTATAATATTATATAAAAAAGTACTTAAAATATAGCTATATATTTATTTCTTTATTTTTAAGATTATTAATCTAAAGACTTAGTCTATTAAATATTATAATAAAGATATTAGTATATTAATATTTAATATAGATATAATAAATAAGTTATATATTTATAATATATATCTTTAAGAGAAGTTTAGTAATAATCTTATATTAATATAAGAAGTAAAAAAAGATTTAGCTATATTATATATAATATTAAATATATATCCTAAGGTTAATAATTAGTATATAATAATTAATAATTTTAATCTATATTATTTCTTATAGTTAATAAATATATAAATATAGAATATTAATAATAATATTAATAATCTTATTTATATAATAAGTAATTTTAGTCTTAATCTCTTAATAAAGTATAAGATAATAATATTTAAAAATCTTATATTTATATATAATATATAAAATATACTAGATTTAATATAGATTATAATCTTATTAATAGATTATATAATATATTATATTTTATACTAAGATTAATAATTTAGTATTAATTATATTCTTATATTTACTAAACTTAATATATAAGTCTCTTATATAGAGATTTATAAATAGTAAGATTAATAGATAATAGATTAAGAAGCTTAGTAAAAGATCTTTTAATCTTATATCTTATAATAGGATTTAAAGAATCTTAGCTAGATACTAGATATTATTATAAAGATTAATATTATAATAATATTAATAATAGATATAATATATATATTATTAAAGAATATAATATTAATATATATAATCTATCTAGGTTATTTATATCTTATTTACTTAATAATATTTATCTTAGTATAATAAGAAATATAATATATATATTAATATTAATAATATTTATATAATAAGAAAGATTATAAGATCTTCTATATATTATAATATAAGCTAAGATAAGAAAATAAGAAATAAGATTAATAAGTTTATTAAGATTAAATAAAAGAAATAATAATATTAATTAATAGTTTTTAGTATTTAGTAAAATAAATAAGAATATAAAAGATATCCTATTTCTTATTTATATTAATATTTAGGATTAATAATTATAAGTTTATAATTACTAAAAAAAAGATATATTATCTTAAAATAATACTTTTTTTATTATCTCTTAATACTAATCTAAATAATATTAATAGATTTATTTATTTAGATATAGTTCCTATATCTAATAAAATCTTTATAAATAAAATTAAAGCTATTATTTAATAATTAGTATTATATAATATACTAGATTCTCTAGGGATCTCTAATATTATATAGAAGTATATAATAAAAGTTCTTAGCTTTTTAGAAATTATTATAGCTCTTTTTAATATCTATTTAGTACTAAGATACTATCTATAAGCTTTTTATAATAACCTAATTATTATTATCTATAAACTAAAGAAGCTAGATTACTCTAATCTAAGTATATAATATCTAATCTTATTACTAGAGATATTAAGAAAGGCTTTTAAATCTATAATTATAATATAACTTATATATCTAATAAAAGAGTATAGCCTCTTACTAAATATATATATTAGGGACTATAATAACTATTCCTATAATTATACTATCTACTTATTACTAAAAGTAGTATATAATATATAGTAAAAGGATTAATAGATTATATTACTCTTAATACTAGATAGTAGTAGTATATTTAATTGCTTAAACGGAGCAAAGCAGAGTAAGAGCCTATTTTTCTTATAGTACTAGAACTTTTGGTAGGGGGGTAGGTAAAATCGATTTTGCTTATCAATCAGTTTATGGTATCAGGTGACCAAACTTTTGGTGGGGGGTAGGCAAAATCAGTTTTGCTTATCAATCAGTTTATGGTATCAGGTGACCTACTGATCAGTGATATGTGATTTTTTCAAATATGACCGCTGAGTCATCATGAGCATCATGTGACTGATCTGATCATGTGATCTGCTCTAGATAATGAGATAAAGCGGTTTTAGTAAATTGAGGCAACTGGTCAGTCTTGCACCTACTAGGGGGGGTCTTAGGGGGTCCCCCCCCTGTATGGAAAATTGTAATTCCTTCTATTTGAAGCCCCCGAACTGCATCATATGCTTAATTTACGCAATTCCTTCTATATTAAAGCCCCCGAACTGCATCATACGCTCAAATTATGCAATTCCTTCTATATTGAAGCCCCCGAATGTTACGGACCTACAGGGGTCGCGCTCCCGCGGGGCAACGAGACCCAACCGAATTGTCTGACGTACAGGTCACGTGGAAGGCATGGTTCCAGGAACCATGGCCATTCCGTTGTACCCAGACAATACAGAATAATGCAGGGTCGCGATGGAAAGACCATGACTTGGGAAAGCAACGCAAGAAAGGGCCCATCGCAGGAAAAACGGTATCGTAGGGATCGGGGATCCCCTAGGATAAAAGAATATCCTACGACAACACACGGGTCACGGTTTCGCGCGACAACAGCTATCACACGAACAGGAGTATCCTAGGACACACCACGATTAAGGGATTCCGCAGGACACCAGTTGTCCTAAGAATACCGGTATCCTACGATAGGTAGCAGCCACTGGTATCGTACGAACAGCAGGATCCTAGGAGCATCAGGATCCCACGGACGAGGATCACGTGACGACTCATCAGGCGATGAGACCCGCTCATCAACTGATGAGCCCGGAGAATATCAAGTGATGAGTCCCGGACTCATCAAGCGATAGGAAGGATTAGATATATAAGACAGTTATTACCCACATGTATTTAGTTCTTCACGATCAATCCATACATTGTTACTTGGAACCCAACAGTTCATTCACCTATCAGTTTCGTACAAGACAAACCCCTACTAGGAGAGGTATCCTTGGTCTCTAGTCCCTCGACTCAGCACCCAAGTATAGCTTGACTAGGCGACACCCTCTTGGACGCAGAACCCCCCGTTGAGTCTATTCTATAGACCCGAGCCCGTATAAGGCCTAACGTCAACTGGCAACGGTACGGTTGCGAATCGACGACTCAAGGATTGAGTGTCTACTTGGTAAGTAGAAGCCCTAACGAACGATACTCACTGTGACCACAGAGCGTTGCGTAACACATTGATCGTCCTGTCGTTGCGGAACATACGTGAAATCAGTAATCAGCATGGCGCCGAACGAAGCAGCCAACAACCAGGGAGGACAGCGGACTATAGCGTCCGTTGCACCACCTGCAACAGCAACGCCTACCAATGAGCAACTCATGGCGATGGTGAGCCAGCTCCAGGAGCAGCTTGTCACCCTGAACAACCGCTCAGCACCGGTAGTCAAACCACCAAAGCCTGCATTCTTTGAAGGAGCTCGAACTCAGCTTCGAAGCTTCCTGACTCAAATGGAAATGCAACTTCGTATTATTCGCTGCTCCGAGGAAGCAGACAAAGTTATTTATGCATCCACCTACTTGAGGGGACAGGCATTCAACTGGTTCGAACCCTACATCCGGGAGTTCAACGAGAAACCAATGAAAAAATGGAGCGATACGACGAAGGACATCTTCGGGTCTTACGACAAATTCAAGCAGAAACTCGAACAGACCTTCGGAGACATCGACGCGGTACGCACAGTAGAAAGAAAGCTCGATCGACTACGACAAACCGGCTCGGCCAGTAGCTACGCAGCAGAATTCCAACAAATCATCTCGCACCTGGATATGGATGACGACACTTATATTTGGCTATTCGAGCGCGGATTAAAGGAAGAAGTCAAAGACGAACTCATGCGAATTGACAGACCCGATGAACTAAGCAAACTCATCGAGGTAGCGGTCAAATTCGACAACCGACTCTACGAGAGAGCACAGCAACGGCGAGAGAGCAAACAGTGGAAAAGCAATTCCAGCCGACCGTACCATCCACGGTCAGGAGCCCGCCGACAGCAGCCTAGAGAGTCGTACAGCGACCCCTACGGACCACAACCTATGGAGCTCGATGCAGCAAGACTACCCGACGAAGAACAGAAGCGTCGGAAGGAACAGCGCCTGTGTTTCTCATGTGGGAAACCAGGATATATGTCACGGGATTGCCGAAGCAAGAGCAATCGCCCACAACAGATTAGAGCTACCCAAGACCGAGGAGCCTATGACATCACCGGCCTTAAAAACAAAGGGAAGGCTCAACAACTCCGCGCGACGCAGGAAATAGCGGAAAGATACGATAGCGACGAATTCGCGGAAATCGAGTGGACCGACGACGTGTGTGGAAACACGGCCGCGGAAGAACCACAACCCGAGACCCAAGGCCGCGCAGGACGTACGTCTATGGACGCACGGGCGCTGGCAGCCGCAAGTCAACAGACGGACCAACCAGGACCCACAGCGACAGACGGAGCTACAGTGCCCCGAAGCAACGCTTTCAAAGCTTGGAAGGCCGCACAGACGCCTACAGAATCTCCCAAGATCAACAACAATACCGCGACGAACAGCGAAGAGAGAGTTAGACAACTCTACTGGGAACTACGAGAGATCTCGAGCCAAGCAAAAGTCAAACAGGATGAGCTTGAGCGCCGGCTTCAGAAACAGCCGAGACCAGTTAACACGGAAGGATCATGCCCGTGCAGAGACGAGCTATGCGCTTGTATGGGGTTTAAAAAACACCCACAACATCGATATGCGACAACCAACCATTGCTACGAGAAGGATTGCGAAGAGCACAATTGGAAACGGGCAGCATTAGCCTACGCTGAGCCAGTACCGAAATGGAAGAAACTACCAAACTGGAAACCAGCTTTTCAGCAACTTGCAGCAACCAAGTGGGGAGCACACCTCAAAATCGAAGCAAACATTCTCTTACAACCAGCTAAAGTGCTGATTGATTCAGGAGCATGTGGAAACTTCATGGACCCACGCTGCGCACATCGACTACAGGTGCAGCTACACCAGAAAACAAGAGCAACACCAATCACAGGGCTCAATGGAGAAAGCCTGGGACCAGGAATGACCCACGAATCTGGGCCATTACCTATGATCATCGGAAACCATTTGGAGTCGATAGAGTTCGACATCACCAATCTAGGAGGATACGATGTAGTGCTAGGAATGCCGTGGCTCGAACGCCACAACCCAGCAATCCATTGGGGCACCCGACAGATCGATTTTGTCAACTGTGAATGCAAGACGGCGAACCGACAATGGAGCGGTCGACCATTACCAAATCAAGGCACCGGATCGGGAGCGGGAGCCTATGAAAGACCACAGGACGAGAAGCCTGATGTGATCTTTCGACCCGAGGGCGGGGTCCACAAGACCAATGACGCGAGCATCATCAGGGAGTTAGAGCAACGACCAGACATGAGCGATGATGAACTCAAAGAATATGTCATGGTACACCACGAGAAGTCCCTTTGCGCGACAAAGGAAGGAACACCGGAGCTGCCTCAAGAATACCAGGAGTTCCAAGACGTGTTCACGGCACCACCAATCGGCCAGCTACCAGAGCATGGACCACACGACCATCAGATTCCGATTCAGAAGGGAAAGGAACCAAAACACATGCCAATTTACCAGTTATCGGAGAAAGAGTCTTAGGTACTGAGGGAATATATCGACGAGAACCTCGCGAAAGGTTACATTCGGCACTCCACATCACCAGCAGGATACCCGATCCTGTTCGTACCAAAGAAGGGCAACGAACTGCGCCTTTGCGTGGATTATAGGCAATTGAACGAGATTACCATCAAAGACCGACACCCGTTACCATTGATCCAAGAGATTTAAGATCGAATTCATGGAGCAAAGTGGTTTACCAAATTTGATATCACCAATGTGTATAATCGCTTGCGTATCAAAGATGGAGACGAGTGGAAAACGGCATTTAGAACAAAGTTCGGATATTACGAATACATGGTTATGCTATTCGGATTGACTAATGTACTAGTATCCTTCTAACGATTTATCTTTAGTGTTTTGGAAGAATACCTTGACACGTTCGTTGTCGTATACTTGGATGATATCCTGGTCTTCTCCAAAACGGAAGAAGAACATACAGGATATGTACGGAAAGTACTAGAAAAGCTTAGAGAAGCTAAAGTGACTCTCAAGCTCAAGAAGTGTGAATTCTACGTGCAAGAAACCGGGTTTCTTGGGTACATCATCAGCAATAACAGTTTCAGCATGGAGGAGGAAAAGATCAGAAGTATCTTGGAATGGCCTCAACTTAAAACTGTTAAAGAGGTACAACAATTCTTGGGACTGTGTAACTATTACCGAAGAAGCATAGACGGCTTCGGTAAGATTGTAGCAGGACTTAACTGGTTAACGAAGAAAGATCAAGTTTGGGAATGGGACGAAGCAGCAGACAAATCATTCAAGGGACTAAAAGAGTTGTTCCAAGCAAGACCAATCATTCATGCCTTCGATCCAGAACTACCCGTCACAGTCAAAACAGATGCGTCAGATTACGCAATTGGGGCACGACTCACACAAGAAATCATTACCAACGGGATTGGAGGATCTAAACCAATCGCCTTTTGGTCACGAAAGATGATACCAGCAGAACTCAATTACGATGTTCATGACAAAGAACTGCTAGCCATAGTGTCAGCATTCAAAGTATGGAGACCGTATCTAGAAGGAGCAAAACACCAGGTGTTGGTCAAATCGGACCACATGAACCTGACATTCTTCACCACAACAAAAACGCTCACACGACGACAAGCACGCTGGGCCGAGACACTTTCACAATACGATTACAGGATCGAACATTGCGAAGGAAGAACGAACAGCCAAGCGGATGCATTGAGCAGGAGACCTGACTACCAGATTGGAGTCAAGGACACAGTACCAGCAATACTGAAGGCAGACGAAAAAGGAAATCTCGTCTACAATCATCAGACACTCGCAGCGACGAGTGAGTTAGAAAACACTACGTGGCTCGAACGAATCTGAGAGGCCACCGGAGATGACCAGCGTCTACAGGATATGGTCAACGAAGGGAACAATGGAAAGGCAATCCTGGACGAAGGAATCCTACTCGTCCATGGATTAGTATATGTTCCACAGAGAATGCAAGAAGAGATCATTCAGCAGCATCACGACGCACCAAGCAGAGGACACCTAGGGGTGGAAAAAACAGTCGAGCTGATCACAAGGAACTTTTATGTACCCAATGTACACCGAAAAGTCAGGAACTACATTCAGCAATGCGACACCTGTCAACGGGACAAGCCCTCACGACACCAACCCTACGGAGGAATGCAAAACCTGGAAGTACCAACGAAACCATGGGAATGGATCACGATGGACTTTATCACCAAACTACCAATTTCAGACGGACACGACATGATCATGGTTATTGTCGATAGGCTAACCAAATACGCCTACATGATTCCGACAACAGAAACCATTGATGCGCAACAAATGGCGAACATCCTAATTAGGAATGTCTTCGCAAACCATGGATCGCCAAGAAAGATCACGTCCGACCGAGATAAGTTGTTCACGTCAAACATGTGGCGTTCATTTGCGGACCAGATCGGAATAGAGCACAGACTCTCAACCGCCTACCACCCACAAACCAACGGCCAAACCGAGCGAACAAACCAGACACTGGAACAATACCTGAGGCACTACGTAAATTACCAGCAAGATGACTGGGCAGGATTGTTGCCAATCGCACAATTCGCGTACAACAACGCAATGCACGCAACAACCAAGGAATCACCATTCTTCGCGAATTATGGGTATAATCCCGCAATTATCGGAGAACCAATCGGTGATCATGCTGTGGCAGAATCATCACGAATTCTGGCTGCAAACATCAAGCAATTACACGGTCAGATGGCACGAGATATCGACTTCTTCAATCTACGGATGAAAAGTCACTACGACAAAAGCCACAAAGAAGGGCCTACGCTTGAAAAGGGGAGAGAGTATACCTCCTACGAAGAAACATCAAAACCAAACGACCTAGCGAGAAACTCGACCACCGAAAATTGGGACCTTTCACGATCGAAGAAAGGACGGGACCAGTTAACTACCGATTACGGCTGCCAGAAAGCATGAAACGAATGCACCCAGTTTTTCACATTTCGCTACTAGAAAAAGCACCAGAGAACACGCCAATCGCTACCAATGTTGAAATCGAGGACGCCAGCGAACAAGAATACGAAGTGGAAGAAATCCTGGCAGACCGATGGAAAAACAGTCAGCAACAACTCCTGGTGAAATGGCAAGGGTACCCTACCGAAGAAAACACATGGGAACCAATCAAGAATTTGAGGGGCTGCCACCGGCTGGTTCAACAATATTACCAGAAGGCGAAGAGGACCCCCGAGGGACGGCAGCAAAGAAAGAATCGAAATCGACGCCGCTCCAGTCCGCAGACGCAATCATCTGCGTCAGAGTAGGATCCTCTGACGTGGCCGCAAGAAGTTGAGCATCCTCAACACCAGCAAGACCAGAATGCTCTCCAACGGCCGGAGCAGTCTTAGCTTTACGTTCATTTTCGGAACGATCGGCATCGACACGTTCCTTCTCGAGCCGATCCAGTTCATCCTTTTCACGACGCTCGAGTTCTTCTAACTCAGCGATATCTTTGAAATCACGGGCAATGAAGTCACCGGTGTATTTCTTGAGTAACACTTCCTGACGCTCGAGGCGCATCACGGCGGCCATAGCGTCCTGGCTGGCCTGAAGAGCAGCCCGACGCTTATCAGCAATCTCCCCTTGAATTTTGACCAAACGACGCCATTCGGCATCAGAATAGGTAGGACGGGACATGGTGCACTTCACACCACCGCCGCCTTTCACACAACCACTGCAACGATCTGAACAGTCAGACCGAACACACACTCGCTTGAGACGAACACAACGATCGCAAGGGACGACGGATTGATAACCCTCGTCTATAATGCGTTGGGACAAAGCGTTCTTACGGATAGAAGCCTTGGAAGACATAGTCAGAAAAACATGAGAAAAACAGAAACGGCCGACACTCACCTACGGGGGGATGGGCGGTTATAAGAAAATCTTTGAGGGCAAAGATCCAGGAAAGGAGGGGGTAATGTTACGGACCTACAGGGGTCGCGCTCCCGCGGGGCAACGAGACCCAACCGAATTGTCTGACGTACAGGTCACGTGGAAGGCATAGTTCCAGGAACCATGGCCATTCCGTTGTACCCAGACAATACAGAATAATGCAGGGTCGCGATGGAAAGACCATAACTTGGGAAAGCAACGCAAGAAAGGGCCCATCGCAGGAAAAACGGTATCGTAGGGATCGGGGATCCCTAGGATAAAAGAATATCCTACGACAACACACGGGTCACGGTTTCGCGCGACAACAGCTATCACACGAACAGGAGTATCCTAGGACACACCACGATTAAGGGATTCCGCAGGACACCAGTTGTCCTAAGAATACCGGTATCCTACAATAGGTAGCAGCCACTAGTATCGTACGAACAGCAGGATCCTAGGAGCATCAGGATCCCACGGACGAGGATCACGTGACGACTCATCAGGCGATGAGACCCGCTCATCAACTGATGAGCCCGGAGAATATCAAGTGATGAGTCCCGGACTCATCAAGCGATAGGAAGGATTAGATATATAAGACAGTTATTACCCACATGTATTTAGTTCTTCACGATCAATCCATACATTGTTACTTGGAACCCAACAGTTCATTCACCTATCAGTTTCGTACAAGACAAACCCCTACTAGGAGAGGTATCCTTGGTCTCTAGTCCCTCGACTCAGCACCCAAGTATAGCTTGACTAGGCGACACCCTCTTGGACGCAGAACCCCCCGTTGAGTCTATTCTATAGACCCGAGCCCGTATAAGGCCTAACGTCAACTGGCAACGGTACGGTTGCGAATCGACGACTCAAGGATTGAGTGTCTACTTGGTAAGTAGAAGCCCTAACGAACGATACTCACTGTGACCACAGAGCGTTGCGTAACACCGAACTGCATCATATGCTTGATTTATGCAATTCCTTCTATATTCAAGCCCTCGAACTGTATTCTATGCTTAAATCCCGTATCTGCACTCACAAGGGGGGGTCTGGGGGGGACCCCCCCCCCAGTATGTATGGAAGATTGTAATTCCTTCTATTTGAAGCCCCCGAACTGCATCATACGCTTGATTTATGCAATTCCTTCTATATTGAAGCCCTCGAACTGCATCATACGCTTAAATTATGCAATTCCTTCTATATTGAATCCTTAAACTCTAGCATAATACCCCTGCCATAGGCAGGGACTTGGGGGTCTGGGGGGAACCCCTAGGAAAAGAAGTTTATATATATATATAGATTGATCGCTCCGTTCAAGCGGTTATCGGCAGGTTTATTCTAAAAAATAAACTAAGCTAACACCTGGTAATATCTATTATATATAGTTACTTTATAACCTATAGAAATACTATATTCTAGAGATTATTATTAGATTACTAATTAGTCTCTTTATAAATTATACTATTACTCTAAGAGGGCTATTATCTAAATAAGGCTATTACTATTAGTATTCCCTAAGGATCCTTATTATCTCTAATCCTCTACTTATTCTATAATACTAATCTTATTAATAATATCTATATTATTATACTAGGGTATATCCTTATAATAAGATATATTAATAATATCTATATCTTAGTATAAGGATATTATATATAGATAAACTATATAGATCTTATATAACTCTATAAAATAGTAGAAGAATAGGCCCTATAATATACTTCTAAGTTCTTACCTACTAAATATAGCCTTATCTACTTCTAGAAGAAGGGTACTAATATACTTTATCCTACTAACCTCTAAGTAGGCTAAGAGCTTACTCTTCTAGACTTAGTAATAATCTATAATACTAAGATTAAGCTAATAGCCTTATTATATTATTTAGATATAATCTTAAATAAGAATCTTACTACTAAAGATTACTTATTATACTACTATAAGTATATAATAATTCTTATTATTATACTTTACTTAATTATTAGTATAATATAGAGTATTATTATTCTCTATCTATAATATATATAGATAATAATCTTATTCCTATAAATCTTATTTAGTTATTTAACTTAGTATATATATAATATATATTAGGCTAAAAATATTAAGAATAAGATTAACTATATACTTAAGTCTATATAATATTAGATATTATATTATATTATTAGTATATTCTATATTATATCTTAATTAGTATTATAGATTCTATTATATATACTATTAATAATTATTATAATCTAATATCTTACTAAACTTATATACTTATATATATATATATATCCTCTTAAAGATATATTTTATAAATATACTCCTATTAATAAGAAAATACTTATAAGATATTACTAAGATTATTATAATTATAATTATAATTTAGAACTTATTATAAAGGCTCTTATAATATTATTTTAATACTTAGAAGGCTATTTTTATATATATAGAATTTATATATATAATCTTAAACTTATTAAATTATTTACTATCTTATTATAATAAAAGCCTCTAATTATATATATTATTCTTAATTAAGAGATTATAATTACTAAATATAATAAGATCTTATATATTTAATATTATCTAAATATTATAATTATATATACTAATAGAAATAAGCTTAGTAATAAGGATAGTATTAATATTATTATAATAATATTAATAAGGAATATTTTGGTAATTCTTAATATTATAGATTTAATCTATATTATTAAATTATATAAGATTAAGCTAATCTTAGGCTTATTTAATTATAAAATTATATTTTATTAGATTCTTAGATATTATAAAAATAAGGCTTATATAATAATAATCTTTATAAATAGCTAGGTTATTATCTAGGCCTTTATTTAGTCTTATTATAGCTTTAGTTAATATATATTATATATAATTATTAAGCTATTAGATTAAGTCTATAAGCTCTAGAAGATTTAAATCTATTAGCTTTTAGGATATAAAAATATTATTAATAATAAATATATTAATATATTTACTAAAAAGATTATAGAATCTATAAATAATATTATTTATATATTATTTCTTCTTATTATTATATATATAATTATATATAAATAAGTATTTAAGGAATAGATTTAAGAATAATAATCTTCTAATTATAAAGATTATATTTAAGATTTATTCCCTATATTTACTAAAATAATATTCTTATTTTATAAGTCTTTATATTATCTAATAAATATAATATTAATTTAGATATAAATAAGAAAGTTAATCTTATTAATCTATTTAGTAATTATTATTATTTAGTAAGATAAGATTATTATTAAAATACTTAATTAAGAAGCCCTAAACTAGAATCTCTTAGATTATTATTATTATAAATATAATAAGATAAATATATAATATATCTTATTTATATATCTTAATTTTACTAAGCTTAGGATTAAGATTCTTAGCTTAAATTAAGATCCTAAAAATTAGATATAATAATTAATAATACTAAAATTAGTCCCTAAAATAGTATCTTTTATATTTAGAATATATCTTTTAAGCTAGTTTTATTATCTTCTAGAAATATTTTATAATATAATTAATAAAATAACTATTAATATAGCTTAATTATATTCTCTCTTAGAGTATCTATAGATCTTAAGATATTATTATTTATCTATCCTCTTATACTAGCTTTAATTATATAAGGAATATTATAATTTATTAAGGATAAAAGATTATATATAATTAAGTACTATAAAGAATATCCTTAATATTATAGATTTATTATTTTAGTTAGTTAATTAAGCCTATTTTTATTAATATTAATAATATATAAGTTAATAAGATTATCTAAAATAAGTTAATAAGCTAGTAAGTAAATTAAATATATTAAAAGAATATAAGTAAAAGAGAGAGATTATTAGGTATAAAAAAAAGGATATTTAGAGGTTTTAGTATTTAGTTTATTTAGTATAGCCTTAATAAGCCCTATTTATATTATTTACTTCTTTTATCCTATTTATTTACTCTACCTACTAATCCCTAATATTATATAATAATATAATCTATCTTATAATATAGTATTCTAGCTATCTTATAATATCCTATTAGTAAATTAGGCTAAAAGCCTAATAGATCTATAAATAAATAAAAAAAGAATTTATATTAAAAAGATTAATATTAAAAAAAAATTAAATAATTAATTTTAGTTTATTATCTAAGATTTTAAGATCTTTAATTAATTAAATAATAATAAGAATTTAATAAAGATTAATTTAATCTTATATTTTTATATTTATAATAATAATCTAAATATTATTAATTTATAAAAATTAGAATAAATAAAAAAAAAAATAATAATCTTTTTAATATTTAATAATAATATAATAAAAAAAATAAAAGATTAATAAAATTTTTTTTTTTTAAAAGAATAATATAATAATAGATATTATCCCTTATATCTAGATTTATCTAATTATAAAGAAGAGTATCTAAATAAATCTATTATTATTTAGATAGATTCTATTAGATCTAAAAAACTTAATTATTCTTTATTTATAATATATAGAAATCTATATATTCTTAACTAAATTATATATAATAATATATCTAAAATCTAT